TCTGCAGAGGAGTGGGCCGCAGTGTGAGGGGTGGTAGCCCCTCAGTCTCCTGTTGGTGGAGGCCTCAGGGGAGTACAGAGGACATCTCCTCCCTTTGGATCCTGGCACCTGAGCCAGACACCAGCTCTCCCAAGAGGCAGTACGCATTTTCAAACCGAGCTGTACACAGAGCTGAGATCCACACTGGCCACCGTCCAGCTGGTAACCTTGGGTAAGTAATGGCCACCCTGAATCTCTATATTTTCTTTTTTTGAGACAGACTCTTGCTCCGTCACCAGGTGCCAGGCTGGAGTGCAGTGGGGAGATCTCGGCTCACTGCAACCTCTGCCTCCCGGGTTCAAGCGATTCTCCTGCCTCAGCCTCCCGAGTAGCTGGGACTAAAGGCCCGTGCCACCATGCCCAACTAATTTTGGTATTTTTAGTAGAGATGGGGTTTCATCATGTTGGCCAGGATGGTCTCGATCTCTTGACCTCGTGATCCACCCGCCTCGGCCTCCCAAAGTGCTGGGATTACAGGTGTGAGAGACCACCCCCGGCCTAATCTCTATATTTTCAACTTTAAAAGGTGAAAAATGTGCTTTTCTGTGGAGTGCTGTGCCAATTAGGAGGAGGCTTGTGTAGAGTGGGTACTTAGTTGGTACTGCGTTCCCCCTGTGCAGGGCACTCCAGACCTTCCCTCCTCCCTCTGGGCTCCTTAGAAACGAGGATCAGCTCCTCTGGGCTTATGATCTCAGGCTGCTCCTTCACCCACCCTGTTTGCTGTCTGCTCCTGGACAGGGGCCCTCATTAACAGCAACAGTGACAAGGGGTGGCCCAGGCCCTGGAGCCAACCTTGGAAGCATGACTTCTTGCCTGTTGCCCCTATTTGGAGGCTCAGTGGGAATGCCTGTGGCCAGCTCCACAGTAAGACGGATGGCTCTGTCACTGGCCTTGAGTAACAAGAGGCTCCTCTAACCCCACTGGGCAAAAATCAAAGATTTCTACCATCTTTGTGAGGCAGCTTTACATGCATTAACCTCATTTGGACCCACTCAAAAACTCAAGATGTGGGCAGGACAGGGACAGGGTAATTAGCCCTTTTTAACAGGATCAGAAAGTGAAATTCAGAAAGGCACTCAGCCAGTGTCTTGCAGCTCCCAGGGGCTGAGCCGCACATCACGCAGTCTTGATGCCCCTCCTCCTCCCATTGGCCAATTTTACTGGAACCCATGGGTACCCAAGGCCTTAGGATACCTCTGCTACTCTTACCAGCCCCGCTAAAATATCCGGAAGGACAGCAGCCTCCGGGATGTGATTGTAAATGTTTGCAGCTTTTCTCAGGGGAACTGCAGTTGTTATCATTTCAACATAAAACCTCAAAATAAACCCACATGAATTACGGACTAAATGCCCAATTCACGAGAATTTTGTAAAATAAACGATGAATCATCTAAAGTATTTCATGCATGTAGTGGACAAATCTGAATTGTGTATCCAGGTCTACTCCAGTGCCTTGGTAAGTAGAGGTTCTCTAGTGAAAGAGCTTGAGAACAAACTTAGGCTTAGGAGAAGCAACAGAGTTGAGGCTGAGCATGGGATTTGATCCTAGAGTGTATGAACTCAAATCCCAGCTCCGTCACTCACTTTTCTGGCCTCAAGGAAGCCGTTTAGAATACCGAGACTCAATTTTCTCATTTATAAAATGAGGTAACAGCCAGATGTGGTGGCTTACACCTGTAACCCCAGCACTCTGGGAGGCCAAGGCGGGCAGATCACCTGAGGTCAAGAGTTGAAGACCAGCCTGGCCAACACGTCAAAAATCCATTTCTACAAAAATACAAAAATTAGCTGGGCATGGTGGTGGACTCCTGTCATCCCAGATACTTGAAAGGCTGAGGAGGGAGAATCACTTGCACCTGGGAAATGGAATTTGCAATGACCAAGATCACACCCCTGCACTCTGGCCTGGGTGACAGTGTGAGACTCCATCTCAAAATGAATAAATAAACAAATACATAATAAATAAAATGAGGTAAGAAGGCTTTTTCAAAGGGTAGTTTTGAATTTCTAACTTTTTTCGAAATGCAATATTGATCCTCCCTCCCTCCTTCCTTCCTTCCTTTTTTTGATGGAGTCTCATTCTGTCACCCAGGCTGTAATGCAGTGGTGGAGTCTCAGCTCACTGTAGCCTCCACCTTTGAAGCTCAAGTGATTCTCTTGCCTCAGCCTCCTGAGTAGTTGGGACTACAGGCATGCACCACCATGCCCGGCTAATGATTGTATTTTTAGTAGAGACAGAGATTCACCATTTTGGCCAGGCTGGGGTCGAACTCCTGACCTCAAGTGATTTGACTGCTTGGCCTCCCAAAGTGTTAGGATTACAGGCGGGAGCCACCTCATCTGGCCTGATTCTACTTTCTTTTCCTAAAAAAGACAACTTCATAGTTTTCTTTCTTGTCCTTTGCCTTGTTGCCAAGCTTGGAGATGATGAAATTGAGACTTAAACTAAAACATTATGATCACTTTTCTTTGGATGTGGTTGCAGTGAGTCCTAAGAGGCAAAAGGGGGATACTCTGGAATTCCAAGTCCTTGGGAGTGGCTTGTGTTTGTAGTTTCACCTGAAAACAAAACAAAACAAAACAAAAAAACAGTTCCATGGAGACTCAGAAGGGTGAGGGGAAGAAGAGGGGTGGATGACGAAAAATTGTTTAATAGGTATAATGTACTTTATTTGGGTGTTGGATATACTAAAATATCTCTACGCAATTGATAGGGTTTGGCTATGTGTCCCCACTCAAACCTCATCTGGAACTGTAATCTTCCTTGTGTTGAGAGAGGGACCTGGTGGAGGGTGATTGGATTATGGGGGTGGTTTTTCCCATGCTTTTCTAGTGCTCATGAGGGAGTTCTCACAAGATCTGGTGTGTTTATAAGTGTTGGGTACTCATGGCTTTGCTTGCATTCTCTCGCCTGTCGCCTTCTCAAGGTGCCTGCTTCCCCTTCCGCCATGATTGTAAGTTTCATGAGGTCTCCCCAGCCATGCGAAACTGTGAGTAAGCCTCTTTCTTTTTTTTACCCAGTCTCAAGTGGTATCTTTATAGCAGTGTGAAAACAGACTAATACAAAAATATATCTATGTAACAAAGTTACACTTGTACTCCATAAATTTGTAGAAATAAAATGATAAAATTGAACCAGTTCTAAATCAGTTTAAATTGAACAAGAATATCAGGTGTAGTCCAGGGAAAACTACTCATACTTCTCTCTGATTCCATAATTTATTTTCTATTTCCAACTTTATGCCTTTCAGCCATGTGCTGGCCATCTCCATCATGTGCCTTGGACCCTCTGGCCTCGGGGCCCAAGTGATGGCTTTGGCCCCCCTGACCAGCATGTCTTTCTGCTGCCTCTACTGGACACATGTACTGCCTAAATCTGGGGACTTTCTTATCTGGTCCAGACCTCCACTGCCTCTAACCCACCCATTCCACAAATAGAGCCTCCAGGCCCGTAGCTATAGAGCCTTTCCTCTCCTAGAGCTTCTCTCCTCCTAGTCCTCTGCTTACCTGCAAAGTGACAGCCTCACTTGAGGAGGAGGAGCTGAGGCTCACCAGGTGGGAGCTGCCCCAAGTCAATTTAGCTCAGAGGTCAGGGATCTTTGTAGGATGCAGCATGAAAATGAAGTGTTATGACCTCAACCCCTTCCCCCATCACCCACTGGGCAAATGGCAATGTCACGTCCTTGAAACTGACTTCCTGCCTCCTAGATCTCTGCCCTGCCTGGTATAGATTGCAGTGATTAACCTTCTCCTGGGAGCTTGGGGAGGGAAGGCTGGATGAGCCCTCTTGCTCATCAGCTCTGCTGTCCTGCTCTACCTGGGTGCGTATTTGACAGGTTTATGGATTTCGAGCAAAATGTATCTAAAATATATTGTCTTACAATATGAACTCGAGGAAGCAGTGTTTGAATGATATCTGTATCTTTTGGCATCAAATCATTGGGTTGGATGATTTATTAAGATGTGAGTTGACCCGGAGCGGTGGCTTACGCCTGTAATCCCAGCACTTTGGGAGGCTGAGGCAGGCAGACCACTTGAGGTGAGGAGTTCAAGACCAGGCTGGCCAACATGGTGAAACTCTGTCTCTACTAAAAATACCAAAAACTTAGCTGGGTGGCATGGCATACACCTGTAATCTCAGCTACTCTGGAGGCTGAGGCATGAAACTCATTTGAACCTGGGAGGCAGAGGTTGCAGTGAGGCAAGATCATGCCACTGAACTCCAGCCTGGGCGACAGAGAGAGACTCCTCCATCTCAAAAACAAACAAACAAACAAACAAAAAACCATAAAAAATATTAAAATGTCCCAATTTGTGTGGAGGAGCAAGGTCACTGCTATGAGAAAGCTAGAGATGGCCTGAAGTCCTTTCTCAAATTTCCTGTGATATTCCTCACACTTTCGAATGATTTTTCCTTTCTTCCCAATCCAGTCACAGACTGCTAGGAAGTACAGTATTCTTTCTTTTGGAAGAAAAAATAAATGGGAAGGCATAGCATTTTTATTACTGCTGTTACTGATTTTAAAATAAGCTAAACATGTGCCGTCAATCCAGTTGGCTGTTCCCTGCCGCCCACGGAGCCTCCAGTCACTGCCTTAAAATTCAGAGGAGCAATTCACAAAAAACACAGGCAAACCACATCTGCGTTTTCACATTCTGAGCAACAGGTCCTCAAAATAGAGGCAGGGCACAGAAAATTATAGGACTTGAGTGAAACTGTAGGATTGCTGGGATTCCCACAGGCGCCCAGCCCTGGCTTGGGGAATGTTTGAGTGTGGGAACTACCCCAGCATCTCCTCACTTGCAGGAGAACCAGGGGATTTGCCCGTTGTGAGAACAGAAGTACCTCTCACCTGTCGCCTGGGGCAGAGCTCCTGTGCCCTGGCATCCTGCGCCCCAGGCAGAGCACCCGCGGGATCCTGGGAAAACACAAAGCTATGTGGCTGAAGCTCCTGCTTTGGTGCTCAGGGTTCAGGTGGGGTACACTAGACTACTCTCCCCATTCGATTCTTGCAATTGGCAGACGGGTCACCCGGGCAGCAGGATGAGGAGGGCACCAACAGAATCAACAGCAGGAAGGCGGCTCTCGCCAGTCCCCAGAGAGGGAGGCAGCGGTCAGGACAGTGGTCATTTGTGGGGTCTGGGAGGAGTGGAAGTTGGGAGGGATGTCGGGGTGGTCCTGGATGACTGTTGTTCTTTCTGGACCTGGGAGGTAGTTACATGGGCGTGTCTGCTTCATGATAATTTGATTTTTTTGTCCTTTTTTAAAAATATGTTTGTTATCCATCAAAATCTGAAAAAGCTCCCAGGGCTTTGGTAACTCCCCGTGGGGTGGAGAGAGCCCCCAGAATGTCAAGACTGGATTTCCCACCAGGCTGGAAGGAGGAGGGCTCAGGGTTGTATTTGATTTGTTTAGGAGAGGGAAGAAAACTGGGCATGTCTTACGCAAGGGAAAATAATTGTTTTCCCAACATCTGGGGTCTCGAAGGCGCTTGGAAAGTGATGATTTTGGGGGTTTCTGCTTCCCCTGGCAGGCTGAGGTGTTCTGGTTGGGAAACCTCACTTGTCTCCCTGTCCACACTGCTGTCCGTGGGGTCTCTCGACCACTGATGCTGATGTGTGGAAAAGCCACACGCTCCAAGGGGCTCCATCCTCCCAGAAAGCACTCCATGGAGGAAGGGGGGGGGTAATCGATAAACTGGAGTTACTATTATTAGTTGTATTGAACATTTATCACATGGCAAGCAGGGGTGGTGGGGGAGAAGTTTTTATTGGCCACAGTTAACAGATGAGAAAGCTGAGGATCTGGGTGTGTTTGGAGCTCGGCCCAGGTCAGGGAGCTACACAAGCTAAAGAACTGCCTTTCCCTTGTTTCTTTTCTTCTTCTTCTTCTTCTTCTTTTTTTTTTTTTTTTTTTTGAGATGGAGTCTCACTCTGTCGCCAGGCTGGAGTACAGTGGCACCGTCTTGGCTCACTGCATCCTCCAACTCCCTGGTTCAAGCAAGTCTCCTGCCTCAGCCTCCCGAGTAGCAGGGATTACAGGCGCGTGCCACCACGCCCAGCTAATTTTTGCATTTGTAGTAGAGACAGGGTTTCATCATGTTGGCCAGGTTGGTCTCGATCTCTTGACCTTGTGATCTACCTGCCTCGGCCTCCCAAAGTGCTGGGATTACAGGCATGAGCCACCGCACCCAGCCCTGCCTTTCCCTTGTTGAGATTCGGTCAAGACCAGAACAAAGAGAAGCCAGGAGATGTCTGTCCAGGAGCCGGCCTTCAGGGACTGCCCGTGCATGGCTTCTCAGCTCTCGGCCTGCGTGATGGGATGAGTGCCTTCGTGCTCATTCGCCCCTTCTGCCATGTGAGGACACAGGGAGATGGCATCATCAATGAACTAGAAAGTGGGCCCTCCCCAGGCACCGAATCTGCTGGCACCTTGATCTTGGACTTTCAGCCACTAGACCTGCAAGAAATAAATTTCTGTTGTGTGTGAGCCACCCAGTCCATGGCACTTTGTTATAGGAGCCTGACTGCACTAGCAAACCTTAAGAAAAGGGTCAGAAAATGGTCAGCCTATCTCAAGAGCCTCAAGATATTCTTGCTAAGGTGTTTTGTTTTGTTTTGTTTTGTTTTGAGATGAAATCTCACTCTGTCGCCAGGCTGGAGTGCAGCGGTGCAATCTCAGCTCACTGCAGCCTCCACCTCCTGGGTTCAAGTGATTCTCCTGCCTCAGTCTCCCAAGTAGCTGGGATTACAGGCAGGCGCCACCACGCCCAGCTAATTTTTATATGTTTAGTAGAGACGGGGTTTCGCCATGTTGGCCAGGATGGTCTTGATCTCTTGACCTCATGATCTGCCTGCCTTGGCCTCCCAAAGTGCTGGGATTACAGGCATGAGCCACCGCACCCGGCCAAGATGTCGTTGATACTTTTGGATGTCTCTTTCTGTACATACACACACTTGAGCACATGCGTCTTTCCACAACAGCCCACTGTGCACGCTGCTTACCACACACCTGACAATCAGTCTCGGTAGGTGGTATTGAGGGTATATCAGGGGGTCCCCTCGGCCTCGGCTTCCAAGATAAAGCCACTTCTGACCCTCACCCACTGCCCGTCCAGACGCTTCTCCCAGCTCGCCCTGCACCCCCTGCCCTGAGCGCCTCATCTTGAAGACACGGACACCTTTCCCTTGATCTCCTTTGTTCCTTCCTTCGGCCCTGCTGCTTTGCTGCCTGTTGCCTTTTTCCATCTACGAACTGTGATAAATTCTACTCTTCTTTAAGTGCTGAGCTCAAATACAGCTTCTTTCAATCCCTATAGAGGGGAGAGGGTGGTCTTGAACCTTTGAGCCCCTGCAGTTCACTGTACACTCCTCTCACAATGTGGGAATTAGGTGAGTGGTCACCACATGTCCTTGTCTATCCATTCTTAGAGGATTGCCACCATGCCTGGCTAATATTTTTTTCTTTTTGTATTTTTAGTACAGACAGGATTTCACTATATTGGCCAGGCTGGTCTTGAACTCCTGATCTCCTGATTTATCTGCCTTGGCCTCCCAAAGTGCTGGGATTACAAGTGTGAGGCACCGCGCCTGGCCTAGAATAGCATTTAAAATGCTTCCTTTTTAAGGAGAATAAAGTGGGAGGAATCAGCCTATTCAATTTCAAGACTTATTACCTAACTACTGCAATGGTAGTTGGTGAAGATACAGACACACAGGTTACTGGGGAAATGGGTCTTGGGTAATTGGCTTCAGGCCACCTGGCATGGTGAGGGGTGTGCAATGGAGGAGAATGGAAAGAAATGCATCTGGCAGGCTCGGGTGATTTAGGGAGTCCTAGAAACCCCTTTGCACTCCCGCAGGCTGCTCTAATGTCAGGGCTTCATCTCTCTCAAGAGTAGATTATACGCTCCTTTAGGAGAGGCAGACTGGTGTCCTGGGCAGAGCCTGGGCTGTGGAATCCACCAGCCCTGCCTTCTAAGTCTTGCTCAGCTGCTATGAGTGAGCAGCCTTAGGCAAGTGACTTAGCCACCCACAGCTCTGATCACTTCATCAGGAGCACCTTCATGATGCTTACTGTATAGCATTTTCGTGGGTGTTAAAAGCAAAGTCCTCCTAGCCGGGCGTGGTGGCTCACGCCTGTAATCCCAGCCCTTTGGGAGGCTGAGGCGGGTGGACCACCAGGTCAAGAGATTGAGACCATCCTGGTCAACATGGTGAAATCCCGTCTCTACTAAAAAAAAATACAAAAATTAGCTGGGCGTGGCGGCATGTGCCTGTAGTCCCAGCTACTTGGGAGGATGAGGCAGGAGAATTGCTTGAACCCACGAGGAGGAGATTGCAGTGAGCTGAGATTGCACCACTGCGCTCCAGCCTGATGCCTGGCGACAGAGCAAGACTCTGTCTAAAAAAAATTAAAAAATAAAAATAAATTAATAAAAAGCAAAGTCCTCCTAAACCTCCAGCTCCATCAATCTGCCCTGCAAGACTCATGCTCTGCAATGCAAATGTGTAGACACCAAGAGGTTCACTGGTCACAACTACTCACGTTGGATGCTTCTTAATTTTTATTTACTTTGAGACAGTGTTTCTTTCTGTTGCCCAGACTGGGGTGCAGTGGTGCCATCTTGGCTCATTGCAACCTCCACCTCCCAGGTTCAAGCGATCCTCTCACCTTAGCCTCCCAAGTAGCTTGGATTACAAGTGTGCACCACCACACCCGGCTAATTTTTGTTTTTAGTACAGACAGGGTTTCACCATGTTGGCCAGGGTGGTCTCTTACTCCTGACCTCAGGTGATTCACTTGCTTGGGCCTCCCAAAGTGCTAGGATTAAGACATGAGCCACTGCGCCTGGCCAATTTTTATTTTTTGATGGTTTTACCTACTGCCAAAATTATACGAACCTGAAACGTTTGAACAAAAATTATACTAACATTTCCAGTACTTCCTCTGCTCACAGGTCCAAACTATTGCTTGGAAGTCATGTGGAGGAGTTCTGCGTCACCCCTAACTTTCTATGTGCCCTTGAGTACATTCCTTTCCTTCTCTGGGCTTTCATATGTCTGACTGGTTGAACTGTGATTTCAGCTGCAGACATCAAACTGAATCCAGTAAACTCAGTTAATGAGTACTGAGGTAAGTCTAAGGAAAAGAGAACTCTTGGCAGGCTGTTGGCTTTGCTGCTAGGCAGAGGGCTTGGGAGTTGGGAGGATGGGCCTGTAACAGGAATTGAATTTCAAATTGGGATCTCTGGTTCCAGAGAGAAGTGGCGTCTCAGAAACATGCAGTTCCAAGTGTACGTCTTCTGCTGTTCCTGTGATGAAGTGAGGGAGACTCTGGAGGCCTTCATTCCCATTTTGTCCCTGACCTGACTTCCTCACATCCCCTCCAGGACTGTCCCTCTATGTGGCCTTTGGCCTTCAAGCTTCTTGCCACTGCACCTTCTCTCATGCCTCTCTCTGGAATGCCTCTCTCACCTTCTCTGTGCTTCAAAGCCTAATTCACACCCGAACTCAGCCTGCAGGATTCCACATAGAATTAAACTTCCCTCCTCTGGAGGCCTGTGGACTTGCGCATTGAATCAGTCAAGTGTCTTTGGTAAAAGTGGTCAAGGGCATGAACTGGGTAAGGGATGGCCTGGGTCTGTATCTGACTCTGCCGCTCAGTGGCTGTCAAACTTGGAACATCTCTGTGCTCACTCTTCTTATTCATGAAATGGGGTCAATAACTGTGAGTTCCTTGTAGGGATGCGTGATCATTCATTCAGTGCATGGATATATGGGAAGTATCTAACAGTTGACACGGGGTAAGCACCAGGAGACTCTGGTGGTTACTGCATTCATCTCCTTGTGCTGTAGTTGGTTTTTACTCTTTTGTACCCCAACCCCAGACCCCTACATTGTCAGCTACCTGAGAGCAGAAGCCATATTCATGTTTACATTTCCAGTACCTTATCGACGGCTTGGTACGGGGAGGCTCCCCCAAATGTGGCTGGTGAATGGGTGACTTTGTTCCGGGCCATCGATGCACTCTCTCCAAGGCTGAATGGAAGTTAAAATCAACACCTAAGTTACCTCTGATATTTCCATTTGCAGATTGTGGGAAAGGCTCCTGGGCTTTTAGGAAAAGGAAGCTCGCAATCACCTGGCACTATTCCTAGTACTTTTATGGATGCTATTCAGTTTAACCTTCTCCTAAATGCCCTGCTCTTATTGTGCAGGTAAGCAAACATCTTCAGAGAAGTCAAGCAGCTTGCCGAAGGCCACACAGCTACTCAGCAAAGAGGTAATTTGACTCCAGGGATGGGTGTCCCCAAGCCAGCATGCCTTCTTACTTGTTACTCATTTGTAAATTCCAGGGTTGGTGGTGGAGGACATATCCTGGAGAGGGTACTGAGTGGTTTGGGATTTACTAAGGCACCTCTTGCTTCACATATAGCTGATGCTAAGTCCTTCAGAGGAATGCCTGCAGCATTTATGCCTGTAATCCCAGCACTTTGGGAGGCCGAGGCGGGCAGATCACGAGGTCAAAAGATGGAGACCATCTTGGCTAACCCAGTGAAACCCTGTCTCTACTAAAAAAGTTAGCCAGGCGTGATGGCACGCACCTAGTCCCAGCTGCTTGGGAGGCTGAGGCAGGAGAATTGCTTGAACCCAGAAGACAGAGGTTGCAGTGAGCCAAGATGGTGCCACTGCACTTCAGCCTGGGAGACAGAGTGAGACTCCATCTCAAAAAAAAAAAAAAAAAAAAAAAAAAATCGAAAGCATGCTGGGGAAGCAGGGAGCAGCTATTTCTGTTCAAGGCAATCACTGAGGCTGGGCCTGCCCAGAATTCGTGAGGAAGCACCACAGAGAAGGCTGGTGGCTTGAGAGACACTGGATCTTGCTGGCTCAGCTGGGCACAGAGCAAGGTGCTGTACATAAATGGCTTCACTGACTCCTGGAAGGATGCCCAGGTCGGGACACTCACTGTGAGTTGCAAAAAAGGAAAGGGAAACCCTGAGAAGGAAGGCAGGAACAAGGGCTCATGGCCAGAGGTGTGGAGCTTCATGGATATCTTCTCGAGTGGGATGCCCAGGCTTCCCTACCAGATCCCAGAAGCTCCAGCTGAGTGGTTCTGCAGGAGGCTAGGTGTCCCTGGGTGAGTGGGCTGGCATCCTACACACTCTTCATCCTCCAGGCACTCTGGGCATCCCCCATCCTCTGGGTGGGCACAGCTTTCTGGCTGAGCTGGGTGAGAGTGATCATAGCCAGCAATCCCGGCTGGGCCTTCAGTTCTTGATCCCAGTAAAGGCAGGGGCTATGGGTTGCCCTGGTGCACAAAGGCTCACTGGCTGCTCAAGGTGTCCTCCCACATCTGTCCACATCCTGGCTCAGCGCTGATTGTGACATTCTGGAGGACAAGGGTGGCGCTTCCACAGTGTGTACCTGCCTTCTGGAGGCCAGGCTGCCAAGAACTGGCTCTTAGCCACTGCATCTTCCAGGTCCTTAGAACTCCAGCCAGAGGGCTGCCTGTAGGGCCTGCTTCTGTACAGCTGCTCAGAGCAGTGACAGCACCCCTCATCCCCTCCTTGTCCACCCCACAAATGCTTCTTGCTTACCTGGGTTGTGTCCATGCTGGCCTCTGCTCTTGGGGCCTGGAGAGCCAGAGCCACCAAGCACAGACAGGCCAGGCTCAGGGAGCAGCCTGTGGTGGGGCAGCCCACCTGTACTCCCCATGTCCTTGCACCTTCCCACCCCGCAGCATCCTTGATGGATGCAGGTTCTCTCCATGCCTCCACCCAGGGGCATCCCCACCCCTCACTGCGACCCTCTCCAGAGCCCTCCACCCTCCTCCCTGCTCCTTCCTCTCCTGCCCTTTGCCTGCCCTACCTGTCGCCTCAGTGTGCTCCGACTTCGTCCTGCAGGTGCTCACGTGGGCACAGCTTGGCCTCCCTCCCGAGGGTCCTGCCCAGGCTAGCCACGGGAAGGCACCCTTGGGCGGCACCAGGCGGTGACCGGGTAGTGGGGACAAGGACCACGATGCCTATTACAGTGGGAGTCATGGGGGGGGGAGGGGTGTGGGTTCCTAGACCTTTGCCCGGGTCCTGGGGTGGGCAGGAGAAGGTCAGGAGATTGAGATCATCCTGGCATCGAGACCAACCAGGGGTTCCTGGTTGACCCTGCACACAGCCTCCGGGGTGGTTGCCAGAGGACTGGGCAGGGGAGGCATCCAGTGGCAGCTTAAAGAGTGCGGGATGTGGGGGAGGTGCCACTGAAACAAATGCTCAGGAGCAGCTGGCTATGGCAGGGCTTTCCATATGTATTCTGGTACGTCTTTTCAAACATATACAAAGCAACTCACATTTTCGCAACAGGAAAGGCAGACCAACTTCACTAATTTTCCTGCAATATGTGCATGGTATTAAAAAATTCTATAGCCTTCCAGCTTCTCCCCCCTAATTAAATATAATAAAAATCGAATAAGTGCACTTTAAGTTAGTATAATAGAGAACATTTCATCCAGAATCCCGTCACCCACATGTTACCAAGGGAGAATTTTACTACCTCTCGTTTCAGGCCAGTTCAGGCCGGTGTACATTGTCTCAGAAGGGAGATACTTCTTTCTGATACTGGAGAGTCACCAGAAAACAGGACGGGCCGCTCATCTCGCCCACAGGCTACGTTCTCCAGATGCCACCAGGTTTGCCAGACGCCAGCTCTTGTCAGAGTTATTCCATTTGCCTGTTCGGAAAAGGCAGCCTTCGCCCCTGCGTTCCTGCCTCCTGGGCTGGAGGCCCGCCTGAGGTCTGGGGGTTGAGGAGTGAGGTTGCACTTGCCCCGCGCATCGTGGACAGGAGATAATGGTTTACATGGGAAAGTACAGCCCCTCCAGCTTCAGGGATCAGCTCACAGTGCAGGGAGGAAAAGCCCCAGAGGAAGATTAGGGCAGGGCATGCCTGCTCACTCACAACCTCACTAAAAGCAGATTCCTTATTACAGGGCCTTTAAAGGGGTAGGGACGTGTGTGGGTAGATGGGATCCTCACTGAGACGTGACCTGCTTTTTCCAGTGTTTGTGAGGATGTCTCATTAATCTGCAGGAAAGTGCTGGTTTCAATTCGATGGTTTATTTTCCCGTTTTGTATCTTTTCTGTTACAAACACAAAGGGTACATTAAGAGCCGTTCCCCATCATCTTGTTTTTCTAAAAACACGTGTTTTTTTAAAAAGCCTGGTTTTTCTCAATACACCTTTAAAGGTTTTTAAATTGTTTCATATCTGGTCAAGTTGAGATTTTTAAGAACTTCATTTTTAATTTGTAATAAAAGTTTACAACTTGATTTTTTTAAAAAAGTCAACAAACTGTAAGCACCTGTTAATAAAGGTCTTAAATAATTGTCTTTGTGTAAAAAAAATTTTTTTTTAGTTGTTAGAGCTTATTTTATTTATGGAGATGATTCAAATCCAGAGCAACACGTACCTAATGACAATTCTGAAAACATTTTAGGAAGAGCAGCACATTGGTTTTTACTTTTTGAGACATGTAAGAAGGCGTTCATGACTGCAGCGCCTCGCTTATGCCTCAAGGCTTGCTTAGTGCTGCCCTCCAAGAATACCGCTCCGTACCCTGCAGGATGGACCGGGCCCCACGTCCTTTCCCTCGTACATCCTTCATAAAACCTGTCAAGTAATGTTTTTACATGGCTCTCTCCCTCCCAGATATGAGCAGGAACTCATCTGCTGAGCTCACATCCAGGCACAAAGATAATATTTTAAAAAATAGGCTGGATGCAGTGGCTCACGCCTGTAATTCCAGCACTTTGGGAGGCCAAGGCAGTCAGATCACCTTAGGTCAGGCGTTCAAGACCAGCCTGGCCAACATGGTGAAACCTCATCTCTACTAAAAATACAAAAATTAGTCAGTATGGTGGCGCATGCCTGTAATCCCGGCTACTCAGGAGGCTGAGGCACAAGAATTGCTTGAGCCCGGTAGGCAGAGGTTACAGTGAGCCAAGATTATACCATTGCACTCCAGCCTGGGTGACAGAGCAAGACACTGCCTCAAAAAAAAAAAAAAAAAAAAAAAAGGAAAAAGAAAGAAAGTGTGTAGTCAGACTTATTAAATTTAGGAGCTGCATAATCATGAAAACTGTATCCCAAGAAAATTAAATGGCTGGCCAATTTGATGAACCATTTCCTGAGCTTGGTCAATTGACTATAAACAGTGGTGCTTTCTCAGCATAAACATTCTAAATGTGGATAGGAAGTGTGCTGTGCAGAGCAGACAGATTATTCTTTTAACTACATGCATCTGGAAGGTCCCTTGGTCATTCCATGAATTTGTAGGGAAAAAACCTTCCTAACCAGGAGACCGATTCTTTTTGGCCAAACTGGGAATGATGCCAGCCTATAACATTGTCAGTTAAACACAGCAGAAGATTCAGAGGGAGGCAAATTAAAAGTGACAAGGAGCTAGCCATTTTTGCCCTGTATTTTTAACAAAGATTTTAAGTTACTGTGCTCAACTTAGTTACCAGACAACCTCCAGGGAGAGAGAACACTGACTGTCCTTGTCTTTCTGGAAAACCACAGGACAACTGGTATCTAAAGCTTTAGGTCTGACTGAATAATATGCTTCATACAGGTCTGAAAATAATAAGTATGACCGGTCGCGGTGGCTCACGCCTGTAATCCCAGCACTTTGGGAGGCCGAGGCGGGCGGATCACGAGGTCAAGAGATCAAGACCATCCTGGCCAACATGGTGAAGCCCCATCTCTACTAAAAAATACAAAAAATTAGCTGGGCCTGGTGGCACATGCCTGTAGTCCCAGTTACTCGGGAGGCTGAGGCTGAATTGCTTGAACCCGGGAGGCAGAGGTTGCATTGAGATCGCACCACTACATTCTAGCCTGGTGATAGAGCGAGACTCCATCTCAATAATAATAATAATAATAATAATAATAATAATAAAAAGTATGAACAGAGATTTATTTACAAGAAACTTCTTATAGAGTTATTCATAAAACCCTATATATATATATATTTTTTTTTTTTTTTTTGAGATGGAATCTTGCTCTGTCACCAGGCTGGAGTGCAATGGCATGATCTCGGCTCACTGCAACCTCTGCCTCCCGGGTTCAAGTGATTCTCCTGCCTCAGACTCCTGAGTAGCTGGGAGTACAGGCACCTACCACCACACCTGGATAACTTTTGTATTTTTAGTTGAGATAAGGTTTTACCATGTTGGCCAGGATGGTCTTGATCTCCTGACCTTGTGATCCGCCCACCTCAGCCTCCCAAAGTTCTGGGATTACAGGCCTGAGCCATTGCATCTGGCCAAGCCAAGATTTTTAAAATGTGAAAATGAAAGGTTCAACAATAGGAGAATGATCACATCGATGATGACACATTCGGATGGGCTGAGACGTAGTCAGTTGACAGAAATGCTCATACATGGTCTCAGTAATACGGGCAAATATTCCTCATGAGATATGCAGGGGAAACAATTGTTTATATAGCTCAATTCAAAGTATTGAAAACATCTATGCTAAGGCTGAAAACATATGAACTGAATATTAACATTGTTAGAATACAGTTGCCAGCATTATAGTAATTACCATTTACTTATTTACTACTTATTTTTATTTTTTTCATAATGACAATGAATTCATTTTTTGTGTTTTTTTGTTTTTTGTTTTTTGAGACTGAGTTTCACTCTTGTTGCCGAGACTGGAGTGCAATGGCGCAATCTTGGCTCACCGGAACCTCCGCCTCCCAGGTTCAAGCAATTCTCCTGCCTCAGCTTCCCGAGTAGCTGGGATTACAGGCATGTGCCACCACACCCGGCTAATTTTTCTATTTTTAGTAGAGACAGGGTTTCTCCATGTTGGTCAGGCTGGTCTCAAACTCCAAAGTGCTGGGATTACAGGTGTCAGCCACCTCATCGGGCCTTGTTTTTTTTTACATTTTTAAATTTTTTTATTTTTTTTTGAGATGAAGTCTTGTTCTGTCGCCCAGGCTGGAGTGCAGTGGCACAATGATAGCTCACCGCAGCCTCTGCTTTCCAGGTTCAAGCAATCCCTGCCTTAGCCTCCTGAGTAGCTGGGATTACAGGCACACGCCACAATGCCTGGCTAATTTCTGTAATTTTAGTACAGACAGGGTTTCTCCATGTTGGCCAGGCTGGTCTCGAACTCCTGACCTCAAGTGATCTGCCCGCCTCAGCCTCCTAAAGTGCTTACAGGCGTGAGCCACTGGGCCCAGCCCACAGTGAATCATTTTATGATCAGAGAGCAGGAGAGTGATAGGCAGCAGAGCTAGCACTTCTGTTCCAGAGCTAGGCGTGAGGCTCAGTGTTTGGCTTGTCTTACTTCCAATATGGCATCCTACAGGTGCAGTCTATAAAATCTGTTTCCACTGTGAAGAAACCGACACTTAAGTAACAACTTAGCAGGAGAAGGAACGAACATTTGAACATGGGGCTTTTCTTCCCACTTTAAGTTTCATTCTTTCCATCATGCCACATGCCTTGCAGAGTCGTGAACTACTAGGGGATGAGTAGCTAACCCTAATGTCTCAGGGTTCATAGAAGTAACAAAGACGGGTCTCTTTAACTCCTTAAGAAATTCTTTTTCAGGCGTATCAGAATTCATAAATGTGATAACAACCCATTAAAATGTCAAGCATCTGCTTTTGGTTGAAATTGTATCTAACTTTTTAAATACCAATTGACACCAGCAATTAGTTTTTGGTGAATTGTGTTGCCTCTGGAGACATAGTTTCCAGAGCCACAGCTCAGGTATCAAAGTTTCCGAAATGAATTTGATCTAGCTGGGGATCAGGCCAAGCATATTACAATAGGGTGGCCATGAGGACAGCAAGGTTGGGGGAAGAAGAGGGCAGAGATGGGCAGGAATATAACTTAGGCCTGACCTTGAGTCCCCAAGGCCCCCATCTGATGTTCTGGAGAGCCTCCTCATACCCCTGTCTTGCGAGACTGCCCCAAAACACACCTCAAGCTCATTTCTTCAGTTTTTAGAAAATTAACGGATGCTGAGCTGGAATAACCATTAGCGACCATCTGGTCCAAACTTACTCTTTGAAATTGGAAGAGACTGAGATGCAGGGGAAGAATAGCATTTCTGCTGTTCCTGTTGCTGGCTGTACAGAAGACAATGTTTCTTGCATGGACAATAGCAGGAATTATTTTACAAGGGAAGAAACTGAAGCTCAGAGAGGTTTGCTTATATTCTCAAGATACTCAACATGTTCATTTTTTATAGGACAACCTCTCTGTGTCTCTTCCAACCTCTCTCTGTCCAACTCTGAGCTGGGGGCTAAGTCTAACAATGGTACCAAATTCTCTACATAGAAGTGAGATTTTAACCCAGGTCTTTTTGGTTTTAGGGTTTATTCTCTTTTCATTGCCTTTAAAGGACTACCATAACTGAACAACTTCAACAATAAAATTTAATTTATTTTTAAGGCATTGAAAGATGTTTCTCTGAGGAATGCATTTATTCGCTATTTACTGAAGAACAACTCTAGGGTGCTAACAATATCACGATGATTGAGAGACGGTTCTTAGATCCATGAAGATTGTAGACCTTTATCCTCCTCACTGCACAATCCAACAAATAGACATTCATCCTATCGCTTACTGGTCACTTATTAAATCCTCACTGCATAGCAGACTCTGTGTGAAGACACATGGCTGTCAGATGGAGACTTCCAAGACGTTTAGGGGGAGCAAGCGCTGGGGCACGAGTTACTGTTGCAATGCAGAGAGCTCTTGGTTGGCAGTATGGGGATACTGGGGCCTCTCTGACTATGGACTGGGCAATGGAGAGGTCTCAGCAGTCCAGGGCCTTCTCAAGAGACATTATCCAGCAACATGTGAGCCAGTTCTTCCCGCCTCATTTCTCTCTGCATGTTCCTTTAGAGAAAAAAGAGAGGGAATTACATCTACAAAAGGGTTGCAACAAACAGGTTAATTCACCAAAAAAGACTTTTCTAGAACTTTTCCCCATCACTTGTGCCAGCTCCAAGCGAGAGACAGACCCATATATGGGGCTAGGCTGCACAAATCCGATCACCACCTTTGGCTCAAGTTCTGCTCTTTGCTGGTCTGAACGGGTGCCAAAAAGGACTGAAAAGTTGAATTTGACAGCACTGGGGAACCTAGGTTTTTCAATTCATTCTTTCATCAGTGCATTCATTCATCAACACTATGAGCAGTTTCCAAGGGCCAGGCATGGACGGATGCCTGGGGTACAGATACAGATGAAAGCAGCCCGCGGCCTGGAGAAATGCTTACTCTAATGGGACCAGTGGAAGGGCTGAGAGGCAATGGTGGTCAAGTGCTCCTCTGTTTTTTAAGAAGGAACCTCTGCCTGCTGCTCCTCTCCAGGTCTTCTCCAAAGATCTGCCCACTAAAGGGTGAAAACAACAAGAAGAAAAGCAAACTTTCCCACAAAAGCAATTTCTTACATCAAATTTAATGAGCATGATTGATGCTCCATCTTGACTGATGGAAAATAAGCGAGAAAAGTTTTCTACCATAATTCATTATCTAAAGCATGTTATGCATGCACGTATATATGTGTGCCCACTTTGTTCCAGACAGGATTAAAAATCACTTACAAAGGAAAATAGGATATCTTTAGTTAATTGATTCTCTGGCTTTTCTTAGAAATTGGCCTTCTTCTTTAGAATGTAAAGTGCTGGATTGGCAGCAGAAAGAAAGCAGAACAGACCCCCGCCCTTACCTGCTGCAGGGCTCGCACCGGCTGCTAGGCCTGAGGTTCTCCTGCTGAATGAACCCTTTGGACCATCTGTGCGTAATTAATTAGGGCCAGGAGGAACTGTGGAAATGCTGCCTCAACCTGAAGGTCAGTTCTCCATTCCAGCAGAATGTCTCAAACATCACTTGCACTTTAAGGGAATTCAGTCTCCACCCAGTTCCTACATGACATTCAGGTACAATGAAGGTACGGTTCATGAGAAAAAAAAGAAGATGTTTTTCTTTTCTTGTTCATTTTTTTTTTCCATTGGCATAACAAATTTCAGAATGACCTAAACCTTCAAGAATCACACTTTTAAAAGTCTGTGAAAAATCTGAGCCGTTCCTGGAATAGTAAGAGTTCAGTTCGTGGCAGCAGCTGTGATTATTATTCAGACAGTGCGGTTATGAACTCTGCAGGGCTGTAATCAAATATGGTTAACTGCAAAGGCAGACCTAGTCCTGCTGCAGTCCTCTGGATCGCTTACTCCAAGGGACCGGTTCTTCAGGTTTCCCTGTGTGGAGACTGGGGGCCTTGGGCCAGCTTGGCTGAAGGTGGGACATTGATCTCAACCTTGTGGCACAGCCCTTCCCTGACTGGCCCACAAGGACACAAGCCATATTGGTCATTCCCAACCATGAGTCCCTTTGTGATGAGTACCGGGGCCAATGGCTGAGGGCCACGACACTTCCTAGTGAGGAAGACCTCAGCAGCATGTACTGGTTCTATAAAGCTGACCTGCTGGCTCGGTCCTGCAGTGGCCCTACCATGTACTGTGCAAGAAGGCTCACTCGGCAGGGCGTGGTGGCTCATGCCTGTAATCCCAGCACTTTGGGAGGCCAAGGCGGATGGATCACCTGAGGTCTGAGGTCAGGAGTTTGAGACCAGCCTGGCCAACATGGTGAAACCCTGTCTTTACTAAAAATACAAAAAAGCTGGGCGTGATGGTGCATATCTGTAATCCCAGCTGCTTGGGGGGCTGAGGAAGGACAATCCTTGAACCTGGGAGGTGGAGATTGCGGTGAGCTGAGATCACGCCATTGCACTCCAGCCTGGGTGACAGAGTGAGACTTTGTCTCAAAAAAAAAATAAATAAAAAAAGGTTCACTCAAGGAGGTTGCAGCATTGTGGTGGCAGATGAGCTAACCTAGTTACAGCTGGGGTCAGCCTCCCCTATTGGGGGTACACAGGCCCTGTAGGACCCCTGGCCCCTCCATGGTGACAGCCTCACCTAGTCCTTCTTCTCTGTTTCTATAAGGATTGGAGGTGCCTGAGCATGTTCCCAGCCCCTGGGGACACGATGCAGTCCTCTGGAACAGTATCATCATGTCACCAGGGGAAAAGTATTTCTGACATGCAAATTAGCAGACTCTCTAGAGTAAATAGGAAGGCAGTGGCTGAAAAGGGCTTGTAGAGGTGTCTCTGAGGAGGAGTCTGCTTAGGATCTTCTAAATGCCAGCTCACCAGCCACCCAGGAAGGTGGACGCCTTGATTAGAGTCTTTCAAATGCCAGCCAACTTTCCTAGGGTGTAAAGATTTAATTGATTAAAGATTAATCTACACAGTCGGGCACAGTAGCTCATGCCTGTAATCCCAGTGCTTTGGGAGGCTGAGGCAGCCAGATCACCTGAGGTCAGGAGTTTGAGACCAGCCTGACCAACATGGAGAAACTCCATCTCTACTAAAAATACAAAATCAGCCAGGCGTGGTGGCACATGCCTGCAATACCAGCTACTCGGGAGGCTGAGGCAGGAGAATCACTTGAACCCAGGAGGCAGAGGTTGCAGTGAGCCCAGATCGTGCCATTGCACTCCAGCCTGGGCAACAGGAGCGAAACTCCATCTCAAAAAAAGAAAGATTAATCTACACACACTTGCCTGTCAGGTTTGATCAGATTCGAGATCCCAGACAGTACCACCTCTGCAGACCTGGCAGACACAGCAACCACAACTCCTGCAGACCTGGCTCATTCAATCTCCCTCTCCAACCCCCTGCAAGAACACGCCGTGCTTTCTCAGACTTCCCTGGCCTTGAGTCCTTCAGCATCGTCAAACTCAGAAACCCTCCTCAAAGCCCAAGTCAAACATTACCTTGGGGGTAAGGGGCACCGATCTTCCTAATACCTTAGTGTCAGGCAGACCCTCCCCCTCTTTGCTTCCACCAGGCTTTGCACTGCCCTCAGGAGCATTCAGCCCTGGAGTCTGCAGGGCTGCTGTGCATGTGGCCTCACTCCATGGGTTCATGCAGGCATGTAGCCAACCCTCAGCTGAAGCACAGAGCCCATTTTCCCCATAAAGAAAAAGTGAGTTAAATGGATGAATGGATGTAGCAAAGGCCAGGAGTGGGCTGTGGGAACTGCGGCTGCCTTTCAGGATCTTTGTGTGAAGAAGAGGACATCTGCGAGTGGGCTCCAGGGACCACTGAAGCTGGGGACCTAGGAAGGGGCAGAGGTGGCAGAGAAGTGAGAGCAGCCCTGGCCCTGCCCAGCTCTGCAAGAGGGAGGCTCCAAGCTCTGTCTGAACGGTAGCAAGGAAAGGGCTGGACTGAGCCAACAGGGATTAGCCTTCTGTCTTCCTTTCACTGTGCAGGTGTTGAGTGCCTAATGTACACCAGCAACCGTCCAGGCCCTTGGGGTGCAGCAGTAAGAGGTGCTCCTGGAGCCAGAAGGATGCTGACAGGTCCCCTCCAGGCCACATAGTACCTGCGGCTAGGTCCATTCAATGAAACCTGATAAGTGTCTTCTTTTTTTTTTTTGGGACGGAGTTTCGCTCTTGTTACCCAGGCTGGAGTGCAATGGCGCGATCTCGGCTCACCGCAACCTCCGCCTCCTGGGTTCAGGCAATTCTCCTGCCTCAGCCTCCTGAGTAGCTGGGACTACAGGCACGTACCACCATGCCCAGTTAATTTTTTGTATTTTTAGTAGAGACGGGGTTTCACCGTGTTGACCAGGATGGTCTCGATCTCTTGACCTCGTGATCCGCCCGCCTCGGCCTCCCACAGTGCTGGGATTACAGGCTTGAGCCACCGCGCCCGGCCCCTGATGAGTGTCTTCTAAGTTTGTTTGTCTCTAGGGCATAGCAGATGCTCAATAAATACTTGCTTAATGAATAAAAGTTTCCTACTGAAAATAGTAATAGTAGCCAACAACATTAGTGAGTGCTTCTCCATGTCAGGCATTGTTCTAAACTTCAGATGAGCTCAGTCTTCACCAAAGCTCTCAGGAGGAACGCGGTAGCATCGCAACTTTACCGGTGAGAAAACGGAGGCAGGGAAAGCTGAAGCAATGCAGCAAAGGTTAAGTAGTAACTACCTTATAAGGAGTGTGGGAGTGAATTCCAAACCCAGCCTGCTTTATCCCCGGCTTGGGTCTGGGGCAGACAGTCTGTTTTCGGAGGCTTCCACAGCAGGTGCCGCAGGCTGGGTGGCCAAACTCTCAGAAATTCATTTCCTCGCTGTCCTGGAGGTGGCAAGGCAGAGACCAAGGTGTTGGCAGGTTTGGTTTCTCCCTTCTTGTTGGATGGTAGGTGGGTGTCTTCTCCCTCTTCCCTAGGGGTTTGTGTGTGAGCCTGTGTCCCAATCTCCTGTTGTTATAAGGACACCAATCATTGAATTAAGGCCCACCATAATGCCTCATTTTATTTACCTTAATTACCTGTGTAAAGGCCCTATGTCTGAAAAAGGTCACATCTTGAGATCCTGGTTAAGACCTCAGTCTTGGAATTTTGGGGAACACAATTCAGCCCGTGACACTGACACAGCCTCGGGCTGTCCAAGAGGTTTCCCCAGACGGGGCAGCAGGAACGGGTCGAAAACCCATCACTCATCAAGAAAAACCAGTTCATGTGACTTGGCACCGTCTTGTCTGCCGTCCTTCAGAATGAGTGCACAGCTGTTTTGCTGTCTTCTCGGGAACCAGCTGTGGAACGCTGTGCTTCCCTTTTCTTTCTTTTCAAGGACCTTGGTGCCCACCTGGCCTCCTGGAGGACATCTGTGTGCAGAGGCTGCTAGAGCAGGAAGAAAGAAAATGGGCAAGAACAAGGGTGGTATTTCTCTTATGGAAAGGGCTCGCTGAGTTAGGCTTCATGTGGCACTGTGTTCTTTTGAATGTCCCCTAAGGCATCCATGAAGTGCATGCATATCACACAGCCCAGTGGAGCCAGAGAGCGACTCAGTCTGCTGCCCAACACCCACTGCGAGTTGTTCCTGTGGCTGCCTCTAGCTGCTCCCCCACCTGAAACTTGCTTTTCGTTTTCCTTCACTTAAAATGGATTTCTTGGCCAGGCTCAGTGGCTTGCACCTGTCATCTCAGCACTTTGGAAGGTCAATGGGGGAGGAGTGCTTGAGCCCAGGAGTTTGAGACCAGCCTGGGCAACATCGTGAGACACTGTCTCTACACAAAGACGAAACAATTAGCTGGCCGTGGTGGTGTCTGCCTGTGGTCCTGGCTACTAGGAGGCTGAGGTAGGAAGATGGCTTAAGCCCTGGAGGCTGAGGTTACAGTGAGTCACGATCTCACCACTCTACTCCATGCTGGGCAACAAAGTGAGACCTTTCCTCAAAAAAAAAAAAAAAAAAAAAAAAGTTGTAACATGTATGTATCCCCAAACAGTAAATTGCTTAGTCAGGCCTAAGTGGAACGTTCTAGAAATGCACACTGTGTGTTGACTTCTGAGCCTTGCTTTTTCCCTTCAAGTTTCTGATCCCTTCCCAAGGCTCTCCCAGGCTAAAGGGTCCATCATGCTCTGTAAAACCTGTGCTTGAAGCTTCTTCTCTGAGGCTCTGTACAGAGGTCTGGGTGATACTGAAGTGATGCAAGTTCCCAGGAAAGGTCCTTTATGAAAAATGGAGAGCATATGCCATCAAAGTGAACTGCTTAGTAGATTTATTCCATCCTTCAGATTCTGAAGAGCTTCACTGCCATGATTTCTGCTGTCCTTTCAACTCCAGCGTCTGAAAGCATCTCTTACATTTGCTTCCAATGCCCATATTAAGACGATGTCTCACGGAAGGTGGTCACACTCTCATTTGTATATTGTCCATGGACATTTTTTATGGATTGAGTTGAGTATTTGCAACACAGACTGCCTGGTTCATGAAGTATAAAATATTTACCACCTGCCTTTCACGGAAAGTTTGCGGACTTCTAATTGGATGCTATTTCTCATTTCTTA